TTTCACAAATAGTTTCATTTAGATCTTATTACATTCTCTGGCCAAGTCAGCAAAGATTTGAAACTTGTCAAAGGGATTGGATTTGTTTTCCTAGGGATTGATCAATCTTACTTGATTGATTATTTTCCCAAGAATAAAATAAATTTGCGGTTTTACGTGGCAAGTGGTAAGGGAAATATAATGAGTAAGCGGGGAAAATGGACACCCAGGTGTTAAGTTAAGTGTCAAGATGCTTCAGAAGTACTTGAAAAATGAGGCACAAATATCGCTGATTTTAAAAGATATATTAGACTTACACAGTTATTTTACTCTCGGATAAAGTGATTTTAACTTTGTGGGGAGATTCTTTCTAAGCCAATGCTTTCTAATTTATTGAAATGTAACTTTGTATTAGCTGAGACACAGGTATTAGCAAGTCCTATAGGGCTAAATGAAAACTTGAGAGTTAGAGGATCAAGTAGAAATTGATTGCGATTCTAGCTAGCAGAGTAAAAATCATGTTTAAGGGGTAGATCCGCAACATTTGATGGAACATGATCAGTTTTTAAATATTTATGAGTTTACAGTTTTTAAAATTTTCTTGAGTTGTCAGTATTGAAGTATTTGCGATATATCTAATTTATCATTTTGAGTAATTCATGATATTGTATGATATATATGTAAATGCTAGATGCAAATGATTGATCTTTTCATGAATAGAATATGACAACATCATTGAATGAAATATTGGTCAAATGGCCGACATGGTATATATATGCAAAGGTATATGTATATGGAAGGTGTTTTGATAGATCCCAGGATATTTGTAGTTGGATGAAGGTAAAAACAATCTTTCAACACTTTGCTTCAGTAAGTGCTTTGAGAAAACTCCAATCTGTTTGATATAGCATTACAGTGTTAAGTACACCATCAGCTAAATGTAAAATGGTGTAAAAACCACCCTTAAGTGCTACAAATACAAAATCTATACTTTTGTTGACTTAATTAACATCTTCGGAAATCAGCACTCTGTTGGAAATTAATCCTGTGGGACTAAGTTAGTTTAATCAATGTATCACTAATTACTGTTATTGTATCCCAGTGTCTTGTATATGGTGCTCAGGACATGATTTAATCATCTGAAGCATGTTCAAGAGGGACCATCTTTTATAGGAAGGATACACATGAAAGCATAGAAATTTCACTAATTTATCAATAATTAAACCTCTGTAGTACTATACGGGTCAGATAGATCAGATTGTTCAATGCAGTTCAGTGTGAACCTGATGCAAATTGCAGACAGTAAATTCATGAAGAAGTGCTTCATACTGTAAATGAATTCAAGAATTCATCAATGTATGATGTTGGATGTTGAGTATGTTTGTACAAGAAAAAGCAAAATATACTGAAACGCAAGTAATCCATTTACCTAGTTGAAGATTTACAATCCCCTTTCAGTATTTTTATAAGATTTTGGACATTTTTGTTTTCTTCTCTTTTGCTCATTAATATTTATTTTTTCAACTTAGCATGTCATTTTTTGGTATGGGTGGCTTTTTTGTAGTTCTCTTTGTATTATAATTGATATTTCATAAACTGTCTTGACATTTTACCTCAAGGAAGAGACCTAGGCCATCAATTCCTATATTGGAATAGACCTTTGAGAGTAATGAAAAGATTCTATCTGCTCGCCGAGCATTTCTACGGAAAATATCGCCAATGGAAGCTATAATTTACAGCTATCATTTTTGAAGCATATATGTTTATTAGTCACATGGGAATAAAAATATAGCAGCAGGTCAAATTAAATTATCATTGTTTCATTTGTTTCTCTTACAGACCATTAATTGCTACATTATAATTAGGCTTAATACATACTGTTCAATATATTTTAAGAAGTCTTTGCCAGATCATAATTTTTACGTAACAGTGAAAGTTCAGATATTTTACCTAGAGTGATTTTTGGATTAGAATTTCTATTCTTTCCAAAGGATTTTGTATACTAAATTGTATGGTCAAATGAAAGGGGCGTGTCTGTCATTCTGTATGTTTTCTATAGACCATATGGGAGATAGTGAATTCCATAACCCTCTACCATTATGTTCTGTTCAGTTGCACCCTCGGTCAAGTAAAGTTTAATGGCATGCTCTAAAAATTGAAATGTCACATTTTTGTTACAACTGTCAGACTTCTGATTGTCACATATATTTTCTGTATATCTGATAGCAAATGAATTGGTAGATATGACTCCAAATATGAACTGCCTTTTCTAATAAGGTACTTAGTTTGATTTGGCTTCTTTAAAGAGCACTGCCATAGCCTGTAGATAGTGTTTCTGGTTTAAGAGGGTGCAGTGAGCAATTGTTTTCAATCAATGGGGCATTTTTTGTCAATGAGGCAAAAAATTGTCAAGCAATGTTTTGTATCAGTAAAAAAGGTTGTGGGATGAGGGTCTTGTCATTTTAATGTATATACTCTTAACACATGACTTTTCATCATCTTGATTTAATTTTGTAATACTATGCAATGCTTATTGATGGTTTTATACTGACAGTTTGGATGTATAAGAGCTGTATTTTCAATCCAAATGCTGATAAATGAGCTGGTGAAATATTAACTTCAAAGCTTGTTTAACTTCACAGATGAGCTTCTTACAGGAAAATCTTTTGCTTACCTGCATATATAGAGATATACTTCAGTCAGTGTGATAATGCAAAAAAATCGATTGAATAAAATGTTTTAGTAATGAGATACTGTAGCATCATAAAAGCAAACATAACTTTATTGTTTCATTGTTGTATCGGATACAGATAGCATGGACATGAACTAGGATTTCAATCAATAAACATATTGCTGATTTATCAGATGATTTGTTTTATACTTTCTATATTGTCTCTGTAACACTTTAAGTACTGAACATACAGGCCTACTAGCTGAACATAAATAGACTGTATATACTGTACATATAGACCTACTATAGACCTGGAAACAGCAATATGTAGAAATAATAAAGTTGTAAGATGGCAATTTAAATATCAAAAACATAGTACCTGGTTGCTCACATCACAATATGATAATGAATGATTCAAATTTTAGATATTGCTGTTATGCTGGGGATGTCATTTTGATGTTCTAATATGTATACATGTATTTTGAAGCATTCTGAGAAAACAATTTTTATGTGCAGAATATTAAAATAGAGAAATAAACATAGAAAAAATACAAGTGACACTGTTTCATCTAAAAGCTTTGTCTCGTATTCGCCATACACAATGAAATTGTAACTTAATTAGTAGTGGTGAAAACATGGCCATAACATTGTTACAGTGACCTCTGGGGAACACTAATACATGGAACTCGTAAAGTAGAACCATCACTGATAACATTTCTGGTCCATTGAGACGCTTTTGCAATCACATTTCAGCAATTCATACCAAGAGTGACAAATGGGTGTTGATGTTTTGATGTTGAGCATTGTTGCTGGTACACTCCCCTATATAAGTTTGAAAAACAGAAGTCCCTATTATATAGTCTGTCTGAACCTCAGTTTATATTTGAATTTGAATTTAATTCCTCAATTATAATAGGCAAGTCCTAGGAAGGGGAGAACTAATACCTAGAGGGCCATAACTCTTCATGTTTATATCCAAGTTCTCTTAAAAATTTTTAGCTTAACCTCGCTGTTAACAAGCTCTAATACTTGGACAAAAAGGAAATATTTGGTTTCCAATCTTTTAGAGGGGAATGTTAATGCATAAGATGTTCTATAAAATCGACCTAAATTGAAATAGAATTATCATCCCCTTGCAATAGTTTGACTTTGCATCTCAAAAATCTTCACAGGTATGGTATCGATATTGTGAACTGAATTCAATGTTTTTCTCTTAAACCAATTATTGAAAGCATTCTGTAAAAAACACTGTCCTTTATGTGATTTTGACTGATTGACAACAATTTAATGCGAAAAGTATTTAGATATATTTTATGTAACTGTTTTTGTTAACATTTTTGTTTTAGTGCAATTGTTTTTTGTTCCTTTTTACCAATTCTTGAGAATGAATAAAAAATTTTGATGACTGGTTTAAGAGAAACGTATGTTCAAAAAGTTCACCATATTGATACTCATCCTTTGTTAACAGGTAGATTGTTTCTGCAAGCCTTTGAACTTCGGGTAAAAAATATATTTACATCAGTGATTTTTCTGCTTTCTGTGAACACAGGCTTCTTCTTCGTATGGCAAAGAGTATTAAAAGTGCTTTGGTATTAAAGTATTAGAATTGAGGGAAATTACCTCTAATAGAAAGAAAACTTATTTAGCTGATATCCGCTTATATAAATGAGCTTCCTCATTTTTCTTGTAGCAATTTGTATGAGCCATGTAGTCACCAGGATACATTTTGTTGAACAATGCTCTAACATTGTAGTCTATTAACCCCTAGTCCCAATGTGCATTCTGAACTTGCAATAAACAGGGACAGTCGAGAATATAAATAATATTGCAATTTCCCCGTATGGATGGAAGCTAACATGATGCCACAAATGAGGTCATGCATTATCGTATTTTTGGGGTCTCAGTAGGGCTATATGCCATTGAACAGATAAATATATTATCAACTAATATCAAGATTCTATGTAACTTCAGAAATTACCTTTGGGAGTTCATATTTATTACTTTTACCAAATAAACAAAAACTTTGTTTTCTTTATTGATGTTTGTCTTGATTTTAATTAGTGTCTTTGAAGAAATGCCATTATTGGGAGAAATATAGAAGTAAAATTCATTATTATAGTGATCTGCCCAACATGGATGGAATATATACATGTACAATATTAACAAATAGTTGAAAATCTGGAAATCTGCATCTTGTGAAGAATTTAAAAAACATGAAAATAAGAATATTTTTTTGTTTGTTAATTATTCATATGAGTGTCTATAGTAGCTTAGTATGCAGAATTTTGGGCTCAGTTGAGAAAATCTTATAGGTGATTGTAACAGTTATCTTTTGTTATTTGTCTTGCAGGAACCATATCTCCTTCATGTTTGAGAGTGATCGGCACTTTTCTCACTTGTCTTCATTGGAAAGAGAGCTGGCATTTAGAACAGAAATGGTAAGTTCACCATACCATACACATTTTGCTACATCAAAATATGGAACAGATCAATGTAAAGTGAAGGTAGATTTAAAAACAAGGAAATACCTAGTATAGACAAAGCATTGATGTAATACTTTGTATCATAATGTGGTCTTATCAAATAGACTGCAAGAAAGGACATATATGACTGAAGACTTAAACATAAAGCAGGCATCAGAATATTAAGAGTCCTTAATGAATTGCCTTTTACAGTTTTCCTTGTACAGACCCAAATCACCTTGATCTATAATTATCCCAATTAACAAAGTTCGAGTGAGATATGGGAAAGCCTTCTGTTTGTCCATTGGTTCGTTTGTCTGTGTCCAAGCAATAGCTCAAATATCGGTTGAAGGATTTGGTTCAAAGTTTATATGCTGATATGCTCTGTTCAAGAAGAAATTTTCAAGATGGCCACTTAAATGATCGAAATATGTTTTGTTCATTGGGATTTGCTACTCCGTGGAGTTGCTGTTTTCTAGTTTCAGGCAATATACAAATAGAGCAGTATGATCATGAAAATTAGAATAATTCAAGATCTTACAAAAAGTAATTGATTGGGTTAAATGGTATAACTTGATTGATAGCAGACTAACAGGCCAGGAACCTGCTTAATCCAGCTTAATACAAGACCTCATTTTGCTTTTTCATTTCACCATGTTGACAGAGATAATGACATTTCTGATCAAGGGAATAACTGATTGTATCTACTGAGCAATCTCTTCTTAGTCACAATCCACCAATTTATTGTCTCAAAAGACATAGTTCTATCTATAAAAAAATTATTCAGTAAGATAAAAATGTAGATAGAGCATGAATTGCACTCTGCTTTTGCAGATATGTTTATTGCTAAGAATTTATTAGTGACCAAGGTAATTTCGAAGTTCGCTACAAAATTTCCTGAGGGGTACGAGACTATTGTTTATTCAAAAAGCATTCAAAAAGCATGACCATTTGCCTGGGTGTCAGTTTAGTCTACTTTCAAGTGATAAATCCTTATAGACAGATTCAATCCTAAATACCAATCTATTTGTGGATTAATGAATTATTCCAAACAAAGTAGGTCATATTCCACAATTGCATTGTCATTTATATCATGATTTTGTACGTTATGATTGGTCAGAATTCATCACATGGTATCAGGCTTGTTACCAACTTTGTAAACATTCAAATGATTATCTTTGACTGGAAAATAATTATTTTTGCAGGAGACGAAAATCACCAAAATTAAAGTAATCAGCTGAATTAGATGAATGTATTGATGGATGAGTTTAACCATCAAAGTTCAGAATGTGATTGATTAGCCTTTTCCCGAGGGTATACCATCAATTTGCAATGCCTGCAGCTCTTACATTTCAACTTCTATTAGTTGGTGCTTTTTTATCATTGTTAATGCTTCAATGAAAATCTTTGAGTGTCTTTTGACATTCCCATCTCATAAATAACTGCTATGATTTCTCTTCGGATTTAGTGGTCGTGATGCATGAACGATTCAAACATGACCGTGCTCTATTCGAATTTCTCAACCAATCAGAATGCAGCATAGCCAATATAGAACGTTCTCTAATTCTCCATAGATGCACGACCATGCTCTATTCAATCTGCAATTTGCATTGTTTTGAGTGACGTCACATCTCAGCTGCACATCTGGGGCTCTGTCCGGGGATAGCTGTTCTTTTTTACTCCCTCCGTAACTACTGTAACTATTTAACTATGGCTGACTTCAAGTTTGTAGTTTATATTTTTTTTATTTCGTATAAAATCTAAAACGGGGAGTAAAATAGAACAGCCCAAACAAATTCTAAAATTTTTCCGGCCGACTTCAGAATCTTGACAGCATGCGTATTCTTCCTTCATGCCCGTTCCACAGACACGGCTTTTACTAATTTTTATGTTTGAATCGGAATAAATAATGATAGGCCATTCAATATGGTGAAATTCAGCACTCGTTGGACAGAATGTTAGTACAAATGCACTCACCTTCGGTTCGTGCTTTGTACAACATTCTGTCCAACTCGTGCTGAATTTCACCATATTGAATGGCCTATCATTATTTATTCCTTAAATATAAGCATCATTGAATCTCAAGAATGATTGAAACGTGTATGATGTAAAACATGTACATAAAAATTATTTTTATGATGTCATCAACCAGAGGAGTTATCCATTATTGGACAAGTTGGCATTTTGTTTTGTTGTTATGCCAACCAAACTATTTGGATCAGATTTATTGATTCAAATACTTCCACTAATATCTGACAGAAACTTATGGTTGCATGATTTATTAGCATTATCAATTAAAACACAACTGTCTATTCTTATACATATCAGTTGTACCGTGTCATGATCCTTCCTCTCATTGGTCAAATAAGTCATGTGATACACACAAGTGTCACATAAAATTGATTGTGCAGTAAAACTTGTCAAATTATCACATTTAAATCTGTTCACTTTGGTTTAATGCAATGATAATTGACACTAATAAGATTAGGCAAGTTTAAATATATTACTAGGATTCATTAATCAGATAATACCTCTTACTCATCAATACTCAACATTTTTAATGTTTTTGCTTAATTTCAATTGAAGAAAAACTTAATCTGCAATATATTTTTTATTCATTCAGGCCATTATGTAAAATGAATAATAAAGTTTATTGTAAAAAAATGATTTCATATTTTCTAGAAAATATATATATAAACCAAAGGTCTGACTTGAAATTAGAAGTTGCTAATAAGCCCATAGTTAAAAATGTCCTCCAGCTTTTCACAGAGTTTAATTTCTCATAAATATCATCACTAATCGCCAAAAGACAATAGGAGTTGATATGACTGCTAATTTGAATAAATCTGCAGAATACCCTCATTTTATCAAGCCGTATCTTGAATTTATGCATTTAATATGTTTAATCCTTAATATGGATCAAAATTGTCAAAATCAATTTCAGTAAAAAGATCTGTGACATATATCTGTTTTTTCTAAGGCAAGGTGCTCTAGGTCCCAAAGGATTTTATGTATAACAGAAATATCTGTCAGTCAGGGTAAGAGAGGTTAATTTAGAAATGCCACAAATGATAGATATCACATTAAATTGATAAATTGTGTAAATTATGTGATAGAATAATGTATTGTTGCTGCATATGATATGTACCTTTACTAAAGGGAATCTATGTTTCAAAGCATCATTATAAATACAATGAAGCATTCCGAACACCTCTCAATGTGAACATTTTTTCTTGGTCCCAATTGTGTTATCTGCCATAAACTCAAAGTGGGTGGACTGGTTTTCTTACTTACAAGGTCCTTAGCTCAGGATTTCATTCTTTTTTGATACTTTTTCAATACTTTTTATACTTCATTGCACAAAAGGTTGTTATAACAATCTAATTATGATAGATAAAATAATTTATAACTGACTGTAATAGCTGTCTGTGTGATACAGCATTATCAAACAAAACAATTAAGAATGGAAGTAAACAAAGAAACATATCTACATTTTTCAAGTTTGGCAAGAAACAGAATTTCTAGAGATGGCTTTCTAGAGTGAATTTTGAGACTGTTTAAAGCAAAATAGTATTATTACACATCCCACCTCTCAATTATATGCCTTAGATTCCTTTAGCAATCTCTGTATGGAGTCCTAACACCCCTCTGGTTTTACTGATGACATTAACTTGGACGCGTCCACTATTGAATAAAGTAGTTTGTACACGTGCCAACGTCCTCAATTTCCCCATACATTAGTGCAATCAACACGCCGTTTTTGTTTGAAACAAAAATTTTATATGGAGAACAACAAGTCGTCAGTTGTAAAGGATATCAACCTTAATTCAACAATGAACTACAATGTCAATGAACAATTGGAAGATGGACAAATTCCTGACTTTTCAAGTCAACTTCAAAGGGATAGTTCAAATTTGCTGCAAGGGAACATTTTCTCTGGCGAGGAAAATCCAACTCCGGGTAGCATGCCATCCCACACCATCACCAGCGGCATAGACATTGACAACAACATCAACAGTGACTTCATGAATCGTGGGCTCATTCCACCAGGAAATGAGGGGCATGATATGAACTCACAAGGGAAGGACTTGACTTGCCAGTCAAATTTCAACCCTACTTTGGATACTCGTGATTCTGGGCTCACCTCCCTACCCGGGACTGAGGTGCAGGACACATCCAACTTTCAACATCAGCACCCTACAACAGGGAGAGACTTCATACAGTCTAATAGTCTGAATTCAATAGGATTCAGAGCAACAAACACTTTACCATCTAAGAGGTTTTCAAAATCTCAACAACAACAACACTCCGAACTGCGGACCTATCAAAATCAACAACCAGGGCTAGCCTCAAGTATATCGCCAGATATGGTCCAAGATATTATCAAAGGACTGACTCCAACTCTTGAATTGCTCGTAGCAAACAAACAACTTGACGTTGAACTTCTAGGTGAAACAACCAACAGAAGCAGGTCCGCTAAAAGAAGGGAGGTACAAAGAGCGAAAAAGCGAACTGTTTCGCCGTCTAGTCTACAGTATGTTTCCCCGGACCGGGCATCTAGCCCCAAACGGGCAAGAAGTGATCATCCCTACAGCGAAGTGGACTCGCCCGTGACCTCTCCTGCGCACATGCGCCGTGACAGCAATAACCCGGAAGACTCGGATTCTTCCAATTCCGACAACGATCATGACTTAATTTGTTGGAAGAACTGTGTTAAACTAATTAAAAATGCCTTTCCGAGTCATTTTAAAACAACTACAGACTATAACACAGAAACACAAACGGAAAATAGACCGCTAGGACTTCAAACTTTGGGTAAGAAATCTACTTCTTCAGACACAACAAAAGGCTTACCGATCGGGCCTTCAGTGCTACAGAATTTCGCCAACATTAACCAGGAATTAGCCAACAAGAAAAACATGAATGACACTAACTTCCTGTTAAGACCAAAACGATCGTTCACGTCCCTCAAAGAA